CTGCTGCCCCAACCCCTGCTTCCCCCAGCCGGCCGCCCGCCTGCCCTGACCTCCGCTGGACAGCCCTGCTGTCCCAACCCTGCTTCCCGGCAGCAGGTTTCCCCCCCCCCACACACACACACCCCTACCTCCTCCCAGCCCACACACTGAGGCCTGGTATTTTTTTTCCCCCGCAGCCCGGTACTGGGCCATGGCCCATAGTTTGGTAAATGCAGTTCTAAGAGAAATGTTACTGACTAGACAGTATTTTTATTTACTTTATTACATATTGTATGGGTGGGGAACCTGAGGCCCAGGAGCTGGATGCAGCCATGGGCTTGCTTGGATACGACCCATGGGGCTAATGGTCCCTCCCCCTCAGCATTGGGGAGCCCATGTTGGCACTCCAGCCCCTCAGCTCTGCTTTCCTACTGCAGGGTTGGAGCACACAAAATTTATTAGCATGGCTCTGGTGCACGAGGGGAGTGTTTTTCTCCTCAATTGAGGGGCCACGTCAGGGAGGACTTGGTTTACTGTTTTGTTTTTGCTTCTCATTTGCGTGCGTTCCTCCCCAACTGATTTTTCTATGGGTCAGTGGTAGAGATATAAGTGACTAGTCGACTACCTGATAATCTCTTGCTTATCCGATAGTCATCTAGTCTCTCGACTAGTTGCTTCCCCCCTTTCTGCTTCCTCTATCAGAGGCAGCAAGGTAGGGGGAGCTGGAGCTGGGGGGAGCCGGCTTAAAAGACTGTTCCCCCCAGCACCATCTCCGTGGACAACAGGAGAGGCAGGGGCGCAAGCCAGGAATCAACTGATTCCCTGCTCGCACCCAATCCCAGAGCTGTGCCTCTCTTTTTTAAATGAGCCCCTGACAGCTCTTAATACATTTAAAAATCAGTAGTGCAGCTGGGAGGACCTGGCACAAGTCAGGACAGCTGATTTCCGGCTCACACTGGGTCCCCTGCTGTGCTCTAGCCTTTTTACATTTAAGGCTGGTGTGCAGCAGAGGGTGACCCTGTGCAAGCCAGGAATCAGTTGGCATGCCTGCCTCCCCCCGCCCCCCCCCCCACACACACACTGTGTTTCAGCCTTTTAAATGTATTAAGAGCTTGCAGACTCTTAATACATTTAAAAAGCAGAATCGCAGCAGGGTTAGCTCTCAGCCCCAGGAGCTAACCCCGTTGCGGCTCCCCAGCTCATTGACTAATCAACGGAAAATCCATCAACTAGTTGATTAAACTAAATTTAACATCCCTAGTCAGCAGCCCCTAACCCCCCAAAAAGTTTTGGGTTATCATCCCTGACAGTGATAATTATGACTTTCTATGTGTACTCCCTCCTAGCAGCTCCCACACTTTCCAACCCAATCCACAGAACCAGAAGCCTGTTTTACCCATCCACTGCAGCTTCAATTATTTTATTTTGACCGGACCCCTGCTGCCACCCCATGCCCGGCCCCTCCAGTAATATCCTGGGTCACATCCATAGGACAGTTGAGGAAGCACTGTGGGACCTCCCCAAACCATGGAGCCTGAGGTGGCTGCCCCACACCGTTCTGAGTGGCACCGCTCTGGTCTTTAGTGAAGGTCCTTCACAAAGACTCTCAGAAAGTTTAAGTACACTAAGAACAAAGAATATTGTGACAGGGTGTACCTACTCCACACTGGTCAGAAAGATTAACCACTTAGCCAGCTGAGGAAGCCACACTGCCTCACTCCTGCTGGGCATGCTCTAGCTCCAACAAGAGTAGATATGTGCTGCAGGTTCCTTAGGTATTCTCCCTGAAGTACTAGGGCCCACAAGCCAGCTGGGCTGAGGCTCCAACAGGTCCTAGAGCTGATTGCTGCTTCCAGAGGACAGACAGCAGAGGCCAGAAGATTACCAGCCTTGAAAGAGTTACAGGTGACCCAGAAACAAAAGACAGGGCTATGCAGCACGTTAAAGACTAACAAGATGGTTTATTAGATGATGAGCTTTCGTGGGCCAGACCCACTTCCTCAGATCAAATTGTGGAAGAAAATTAGCATGACCATATATACCAAAGGGATACAATAAAAAAAGTGAACAAATATAAAATTGACAAATAAGATTTTAGAAGGGGGGGTTGGGAGGAGGTTAGTGTACGAGACTATTGGGGTGATAATTGGGAACGCTAGCTTTGTAACGGGTAAGGTAGTTAGCATCTTTGTTAAGGTCCATTGGTAAAGTGTCAAATTTAAGCATGAATGACCCAGAGTGTTACTGAGGTACAGCCCATCCTCGATGCAAGTCCAAGATACGTTCCCAAAAAAAAGTGGAGTTATAGCGGCTGCTTATCCCGGCATAATCACACCGCCCGGCGCGGGCTTATTCACACCCCTGAGCGACTGCAGTCACCTTACCTTAAAGCATGAGCGCTAAGCGCAGCCAAGGAGCAAGCAGCTTCCCACAGCCCTTCTCCACCGACAGGGGCCCACGGCCTGTCCGCGCCAGGGCTCCGCTCAGAAGGGGCAAGTTAGGGACGGGGGAGACCCGCCGTCAGCGCCTC